AAAACATATATAACGTTTAATTCAGTTTTTTAATTGGGTATTTCACCATTAAAATAACATAATTGCTAGCATAATATTATTTGTATTTATTTCAATGATAACATAACATTATCTCATGACACGTTAATATTATTTAATTTAGTTTATTTATTTAAGGCTAATTGTAATAATAACTCTCTATATGTTATTTTTTTTCCAATTAGATTCCTATTTTTATTAAATAAAAATAATATGTATATATATATAAGTTCAGTTTTATATAAAAAGTCGAATCCGTGAAATCATCTCTAAATTTGGGTTGAGTCAACTTTATGCTGATAATATATATTTTAGATCGGGTCGAGTTTCGAGCAGTTTGATTTTGGCTGCCTCTATTTAAGTCCACTTTAATCACCCTTCATTTCCAAACAACAATTTTAACATTGTGGTCGTGAGATCGAGTTCCACGGAGGGCAATTCACAATTCGGAGGTCTCCCACGGAAGCTGTTTTCAACCTGACATTGGGGGCATACTACTTACCCTCCCCCACCATTACATTGGGAATAAAGGGTCATCTAATTTTTTTTCCTCCTTTCACATTTCCTCTTTACTTTGAAACCCCAAAATGGGGTTTCCACAACTGCAGTGCTTGACATGCTTGCGTTTCATTTGCAGGGAAACGGTGCTTTTGGGGTCTCTTCTTCTTTTTCAAGTCTCAACTCCGTCCATGGTTTTCCATGGAACCATCCCCACCATGTCATTCATCCCCGTCGTGGCGACTATCTTGGACCGTGGATCAACGCTCACGCCACCTTCCGTGGCGGCGGCGATGCTTCCGGCACAATGGGTACATGCATTTCAATTTTCATCCCACAATCTTACATTCTTATGTGTTGGTATAGCAGGACGAGTCCTTAAACATTTAATATCTTAATTTATCTCCAAATTATGTCTCTCTTTCAAAATTAGTTTTTAAACTTTTGAACATTCTAATTTCATCCCTAAACTATAATTCTCTTTCTAAATCATCCAAATATGTAATTAATTTCAGCCATAATTTAATCTAAATTTTGTTTTTTTTTTTCAAAACATATAATAACATAACGGCTTAACGATTTCATTAACAATGATGTGATTAGTGTATATTTATAGTTTGAGATGACATTGAATGTTCAAAAAGTTTGAGAACCATTTAGAAGGAAGGTCATAGTTTGGAGTGAAATTAAAATTTTCGAAAGTTAGAGGATTAATTTAGAATAATAGTCATAGTTTAGAGACGAAATTAGAATATTTAAAAGTTTATGGACCAACTTAAGATGAGATTCTACTTTGAGAAAATGCTATGGTAACTCATTCTTTTAAGCAAGTCGAGGTTCAAGTTTACGTTTGTGAATAGAGTAAATTGAATTAAGAGAATCTTCCTTATATTGAATCTCTGTAGTATTCTATCTAGATTAATCGATTAATAGATCGGGAATGTGGTTTTGGTGTAAGTGTAGCATGTGGGTATGGGAACCTGTATAGCCAAGGATATGGTGTTAATACGACGGCATTGAGTATTGCTTAGTACTACAATGGGATGAGTTGTGGCGCATATTATGAGCTAAGGTGTGTGATGACCCTAAATGGTGCCTGCCCTACTCAATTCTGGTCACCACCACTAACTTCTGCCCGCCGAGAGGGTGGTGCGACCCTTCTAACCACCACTTTGATCTCTCTCAGCCTATCTCCCAACACATTGCTCAGTACAAATCTGGAATTGTCCCGGTCATTTATAGAAGGTAACCATACTCGCCTAATTTAAATGTATTGACCCGGTTGAAACGGTTCATGGTTCAACCGGTCAGTATGAGTTAAATTTAAACGAATAAGATTGTGTTTGTGTTTGTGTTTGTGTTTGTTTATTTTTTAAGGTATCCGTATTTGGTTCTTTTAGGGTTCATGAACGTGTTGGTTAATATACAAAAAGAAAATGGTGAACTTACATCATTATTCCTTATGTTCCTTAGGTTTAATTGTTTTTACTCCAAAGTTTATCATGTGTTCAATTTAGTCTCTATCTTCACTTATATTTAAAATATAAAATAAAAAATAAAACACATCGAGTGACCTCAATGATAAAATGAATATTATTCTTCCTAAAGAACTCGGGTTTAAGCAGTTATATATGTAGGAGGGGTATTGTCATAGGCTATTTTTGTAACATATACAAACTTATAAACGAGCTTTCAAACGAGCTTATTCGTTAATATAATAGAACTGAACACACATATATTAATTTTTGTTCGTTTATTATATGAACATAAAATTTTACCCATACTTGTTTATTTAACCTAATGAAGTAGCACGAACCAAGCGACATCGATTGTAAAAGAATTATTGTTATTCCTTGAAGTCCCGGGTTCGAACACCAAGAGTTCGAACACCAAGAGTTCAACAAACGCTTTTGTAACACCCTTATCAGTCGGTCTTTTTAAATTTATCGATTCATACGAAGTGTTATTCATTTATTTTTTTGTAGGGTGAGAAGTAGGAGAAGAGGGGGAATAAGGTTCACCATCAATGGACATTCTTACTTCAATCTAGTGCTCGTAATCAATGTTGGTGGCGCCGGGTATGTTCATTCCGTCGCCATCAAAGGTTCGAGGACTAGATGGCAACCAATTTCAAGAAATTGGGGCCAAAACTGGCAAAGCAATGCCTACCTTAATGGCCAAACCCTCTCATTCCTTGTCACAACGAGCGACGGCCATAGCGTTCTCTCGTACAACGTCGCTCCTCCGGGTTGGTCCTTCGGTCAGACCTACTCCGGCCTTCAATTTCGGTTTGAAGACAGGATTTAATAACATTCACACGTAACAGAATATTTTGCAGTTCAATTGGCTTTGAATTGAAGCCTGCTAGTTAACTGCTAGACCAAAGTATGAATGGAATTTTAGTTCTAATATTTTTTTTTCTCATGCCAATGTCACTATTAGAGAGAGAGAGAGTAGTGAAAATTGTCGGCAGATTTTGTTTTGGGTAAACTATATCACATATAGTTGAACTTTAAACGTTGTATCGTTTATATCATTAAATCTTTAATTTTATCATTATAGCATTGAATTTTGAGTTTAGTTTCAATTATACTACTGGACTGTTAAATCGTTAACAACCAGATCAAAACGACATCGTTTTGGTGAGGCGTTTACATTGGTAGTCGTCAATCACATAAATGTGTCATTAACCATTTAACAGTTTATTGATATAATTGAAACTAAATTAAAGTTTAGTGCTATAATTGATAAAATTTAAATTTTATTGATATAAATAACAATATCTAAGTTTGACTATAATTGATGTAGTTTACCATTTTTATTTTCTTCAATACATAAAGGTAGGATTATGGGAACACCTTTGACGCCCACGTGAACGCATAATGGCTACTTTCTTAGAATGACATCCATTCATGTAGGTTAGTTTTTTAAACTCTATTCGATTTTAATTATTATTTTTTAAGGTAAAAAGTATTTATATTTAAATTATCAGTTTTAATTTATTTTAAGTATTAAATTTTCAAATCATATTTAGTATTTAGTTTTTGTTTCATTTTAGTACCTCACTATTAAAAAATTAACGTATTTAGTATTTAAACTATAAGTCCTTAGCACCTAAACTTTTATTTTTTTCAAAACTTAACGTTAAATTTTGAACAGTGGTACTAAAATGTACAAAACTAAACTCTATGTATGATTTAAAAATAAAGTTTAGATACTAAAACATATCAAACTTATAGTTTAAGTATTAAATGCGTAATTTACCTGTTTGATTATTATTTTTAATTATATTGATTTTTCATAATTTTACAAAAATCACAATATGATGAATTACAAATTTGAACTAGGAATGGCATCGCATAGATTCTGACTCAATCAAGTTAGATTTTTTCTTAAAAGAAATTGAGTTAAAGTTGGGTCGGATCGGGTCAAAATTTTTAAAAGGTGAAGTTGGATTGGGTTCAGGTGGGTGTGAAAAAACTCCGACCCGACCCGAGGATAATAATATAATTTTTTTAAAAATTTTATTATTATTTTAATTAAATCTTTAATTTGTACCAGGTCGGGTCGGTTTTATACTCTAAAAATCGGGTCGGGGTCAAAATCAGGTGGGAGATATATATTTTTTAGGTTGGGTCGAATCGAATGTAAGATATAAAATTTTCAGACCGGATCGAGTTGATAAAAAAACCCGACCCGTTACCATCCTAATTTCAACTACACACGTTCACAATTAGCTTCACAAATAACCTAAATTTTAGCATAGTTAGAAAATTTAGCAGATATTATTATTTCATCAAGTTTATTTAATGATACAAGTGTTCTTATATTCTTAAATGACTCAATTTTGAGTCCTCATTTAACTAAACATGACATTTGGTTTAGTGGTTAGAATAACACATATCATCATATGATTAAACGATTAATTTTATTTGAATTAAATTAAAATTAAGATCAAATTGATAAAATATTTAGAATTCGTTCATGGTTAAGTGATCGTGTGTAGTTCATCTACTTTAATTTAATTTTTAAACTTTAAATAAAATATTAATTTTTTTTATTAAATTTTAATTAAAATATCAATTTAACTATTAGATCTTATTAAAATCTACAGTCTTCACCATCCTTGACCTGAAACCAAACGTGTTAGACTATTATTTTCTTAGTTCCCAAACATGAAACCATGCCAATTTCAGTAACAAAAAAAACAATGGATAAACTAAGTATTTGGTACCTAAACTATCAGTTTTGATTTATTTTAATATCTAAACTTTCATTTTTTTAAAATCATATTTAACTTTTAATTTTCATTTTAGTTTAATACTCCCCTTTAAAAACGTTTGGTAGATACTATTGATTTTTTTCAAAACTTAACATTAATTTTTGAACAGATTATGTACTAAAATAAACTAAAATTAATAATTTATGTATTAAATACATAATTTACCTAAAAGTAAAAAATAAACCCACTTGAGAAATTGATATGAAAATAATCTAAAAGTTTCCATTAAAAAAAAGAAAGAAACTGAATCGATTGATTCAGCAAAAACTGGTCTCCATGAACTTTACAAACTCCTTAAACCCTATTCTACCATCGTCGTCTTCATCAAATCTCTCGATCATGTTCTTGCAATTCCCAATCCCTGAACCTTCTCTCAATCCCAAAACACACATAACTCTCTGCAATTCATCGGCGTCGATGAACCCATCTTTGTTCACATCAAAAACATCGAAAGCATCCTTCAATTCGCCCAAACTCGGCTCCTCGTCTTCAAAAACCCTCGAAATTTCATCGAACCCAAACGATTCACTCAGTTCCTCGCCTTCTTTGCTGCAGAAAATCCCCAGATTTCCCATCAATCTCTCCACGTCTTTTCTATGAACCCTCAATTCATCTTCTTCCTCCTCGATCGGACGGTCGAAACCCAGATTTTTCCCTCGATCCGATGACTTTGGGCTGCGATATCTTGAGAGAAAAGTGGTGAAACAGGCGAAAGCGTGGAACAGGAGAGTTAGATCGAGGAATGGGAAGTGGTTTGGGTTTGGAGTTTGTGGGAATGGTGATTCCATTGAAGGAAATGGTTGGCCAGCTTTGAGAGAAAGTGGTTGAATCTGGAGAAATGGAAGAAGAATCTGAATGGGTTGATGAAAAGCTGTGGAGTTTGAGAGGGTATTTAATGAGTTAACGAGGAAGCTGCCTGTATGCTGCGGAGAAGAATATAATAAAGAAATGGAGCATGAAAGATAATAAGAAAAGTATGGGCCTTTCCGGGGAAATTTCCAAAGTTGACTAAACCGTATGGGATGACAATTTAATCCAAAACTTAGGGATCTTGACTCGAATTTTGACACGGCTAGATTTAACGGTAATTTTTTCAATAAATCACCGGTGATCGGTATATTTGTTGATTTAACACTGGTCATATTATATTTTTTGATTTAACATCCGTAGCAGTAAAGCGCGCCTCCTAAATCGTGCTATACGCTGATTTGGCGCCACGTGGGTATAGCGCGCCCCCTGATCCGCGCTATACCTGCGTATCTGACACGTGGGGTATAGCGCAGTGAAGGGGGCGCGCTATACCCCTAAATGCCCGGCCCCTCACATCCCAATCCTCCCTATAAATACCTCATCCTCAATCACTTTTATCACATCAAATTCTCTCAAATTCTCTCTCTTTTTAAGGTATATTTTATAATATTTTTACTATTATGTATTTACTTTATTTAATATTTTTACTAATATAATTCTTTTGCAGATATATAATGGAAGACAGTCTACTTCGCTCGGATGAAAATCATATATCTCTACACTTTGCTGATACGGTAACATTTAACGTTTTAATTTAATTTAAAATATTAAGAATTAAATATCTCGACATTTTGCTGATACGGTAACATTTTAACGTTTTAATTTAATTTAAATTATTAGTAATAATTAGTTGATTTATTTAATGCATGATTATTAGATTAAGAATTAAATATCTCGACACTTTGCTGATACAGTGACATTTTAACATTTTAATTAATTTAAATTATTAGTAATAATTAGTTGATTTATTTAATGCATTATTATAGATTAAGAATTAATTTTTGTAATTATTTATTTTTATGACATTTTAACATTTTATTTAATTTAAATTATTTAGTAATTAGTTGATTTATTTAATGCTTATATTAGATTAAGATAATTTTTTGTAATTATTTATTTTTAGGAGAATGACCGTGTATTAGATCATTTTATTAGGAATCTTAAGTAGTGATACCCAGCCGTCTTGTCGTATTTAGTAGAGGCTGGATTCGGTTACATAGATATCAGGGTCACTGTAAGATAGAGCCAGACCTGATTTTGCCTTAGTAAAGCGGTGGAGGCCGGAGACCCACACATTCATCTTCCGTGCGGAGAGGCACGATCACACTTGAGGATGTTTCTATGCACCTGGGGCTCCGTGGATGGAGATGTGATATCGGGGATAGCTTCCGGTTCTTGGACTACTTTGTGTCGGGATAGTCTAGGACGTGTCCCGGAAAATTTTATCGAGGTAGGATACCGTTAAATTGGTTAGATGTCAATTTTGGGAGTGAGCGACGCCTCTGAGAAGGTTAAGATGTATGCATGAATGCATATGTAGCTGATAGGAGGGTTGAATGCCGTACAATCACGCAACCTAGTTCACTGCATGTGGTTGATCTTAGTGACTTTCGTCTCTCCGGATCATTCAGTTGGGGTAAATAAAACTGATTTTGTATATTAATAATTTTATGCAGCGTATAACAAAATTTTTCATTGAATAGGTGGTCTACTGATAGGAAAAATCATCAGGAGCTACCTGATGATTTAGAAAAAATTAGGGTGCTAATCGACCAGAAGGCTGACACACAGTATGAATTTTAATGTTCAAAAATCGATTTTAGATTATAGTATATAATTAGATTATTATTTTGATAAAAATTATATATTATTGTTTTAGTTTAAATGGGTGCCATATTCTACTGATGATGTGAGGGCGGTGATCCCACATGAGTTGAGAGGTCTATCAGATGTTTGGATGGCGATGGTCCCTCTGATCTGTTATGCGACTGTCGAGTGGCACTCCATTGATCGCGCTCCGGCAGTTTGGTTGTTTTCAACCAATTCCGGAAGAACCTCGCAATAGGACGTGTTGCATAGCTTAGATAGACGCGGCAAGACAGATACAGATTGGCTGGTGGGCATCATGGGTGGGTCGTGTTGTGGGAAATCGACATCGGCGCCTTCCCCGTAGAGAATCCATTTTTGATGACCTCTTGATGTTATGAGGATTATATGAGTGGTTCAACAGTAACGGGACACCGTTTCTACTTCCCGAGATGCACGAGGGCAGACCTTTCCACGACGTCGACAAAGACGTTCACGACACAGCACCATCGTCCCCCGACTCGTGGATGGGAGAGCAGTGCTTCTGGTTATCCTCCTCAGCTGCACCAGCAGGACCTTCCCAGCAGTCACTGTAGCCATATATGCCGCCATCGCCTTTCCATTACCAGATGCCGCCGCTTCACCTGTTTTATGACCCCGTCACCGTCACAGATGACCCTTCCTGGAGTCTATTATAGGTCTATGTTTGCAGATCCGACTTGGGGTTCATATGCTGGATATTTGGTGGGTTCAGCCTCATCACCCATGGCCGCAGCATAGACACCTCCTATACAGTTTTCACACTCAGCGATGTCTGGGTTTTCCAGTTTTCGTAGGCCGGTGGGATAGTCAGTCATACACCTCCAGGGTCCTTATTCTATGGAGGTGCTTCATCGTCATCAGCTCCTCATCAACCTAATGTACCTGCTCAGGACACGACGACGACGATGACGTCGATGACAATGGTGACGACGACGACAACGACTACGATGATGACAGCGAGTCAGAACCAGTGATACGAAGAAATCCTCCTCGAGACCGACAGTCACCGCCCTGCAGAAACATTCGCGACGCGACATCGATAGTTTGTTTATTATATTTTTATTTACTTTATTTTGTTTAATTGTAATTTTTTATTATTTCTAATTTAATACTTACTTTATTTTGTTAAATTTGTTAGATTTTTTAATATATTTCTGTTAATTTTTTTATTATCATTTAATATCAGTTATTGTAATTTGGTTATCATTTATCATTAATTCTTATTGTAAGTTTGTATTTAAATACCAAATTGTTATTAGTTTGATAAAATTTAATGATTGTGTTCGTTTTTAATCTTCATCAACGAATCGAATGACATTAACTTGAAGTAAATGCAAATTAAATACAAGAATTATTATTTGATAAACAAATACATCATTTCCTCATCAATTGTTACTTGATGACAACAAAGTGGACATGTTTTTCTTGTGTGTCCTGGGTTTTTGCAATTGCCACATCTTCTGTTTGTCTAGATTATTCTCGAATATCCATATCGCAATTCGATTGAATTTTGGACGACCACGCTCCTCAATAAACTCGGATTTGGTACAATCGGAAGCCAATCTTGAACCTCATCAGGGTCTTTGTCATTACTATGGGGGAAACTCAAATTCGTATACCTTAAAAACTTCAGATAGTAGGCATACGAGATCCAAAAATGTTATAGTCTTAACGTGTATGCGAGCAAGCTGCTATCACATGAGAGCATGGATACTTCAGAGCTTGAAAAAACCCGCAGTCGCACGTTCTGTCCCTTAGATTTACTCTTAACGACACAGCCTCAATCCCTTGAAGAGGTCGCGGTAACTCTGTGACACGAAACATTTCATGCCTTCTAGAGAAGCTTGTTACAGACATTCCATTTGATGCATCAATTTTTTTCTGTAGATCTGCAACTAATCTAGGGTGATAGACATGGCCGCCTTGCATCCAGGTTTGAGCTTGTCCCCCGAGCTTCGCAAAAAGCGCTCCCAAACGAAAATATATAGTTTTTACCAAAGCCGCTACAGGTAAGTGACGTGCACCCTTTAAGGTTGAATTGATTACCTCATCCAAGTTGGTCGTCATGTGTCCATATCGATATCCACCATCATATGCGTTCGTCCACATTTCTTTATCTTCTTCGCCCGCAAATCTTGAAGCATTGATTCAAATGTTCGAGGAAGTAGTTCGTAACCTGATCAAAAAATGTATAACTTACTAACTTGCTTTCTTTGCAAAATTAAAATGATCAAAAAATGTATAACTTACTAACTTGCTTTCACTTACCTATGTGCACAATTAATTGACGCTCATCATTCTTCTTGTACCTTCCATGATAGTTCGCAGCAATGTGTCGGAGACAATACCTATGTTGGACAAAGGGTGGTTGCCACATTGGACCCAAAGACTCCATTGCTGCTTTGATCCTAGCTCTGCGATCTGAAATGACACAAATTTTTTCCCTCGTGATAACATGTGCACATAAATTTCGGAGGAAAAAAGCCCAAGAATCTGTATCTTCTCCTTCGACAAGAGCAAAAGCAACTGGAAGAATGTTGCGATTGCCATCTTGGACAACTGCCAATACTAAAACTTGCTTGTATTTTCCATACAATAAAGTCTCGTCGATCTGGACCATAGGCTTGCAGTATTTGGCAGCATTAACGCACTGTGGGTAACTCCAAAAAACCCTAGAATTGGCATCGATCGCGAAGAACTCGTCATTATGGTATGCATAGGAGGTTTCGAAGTCCACAATTGTCCAGGATTCAACGTCCGCACCAGCCTAAACCAACCTGGAAGTTCGTTTGTAAGATGCATCTCATTCGCCATGGAGTTTGACAATGGCATTTTGTTTTGCCAACCAAGCTTTTTTATAGGAGACGGTGTACCCATACTACGATTGTATAGCTGAAATCAACACTGCAACAGCTATATGAGAGCTTACTTTTACCATGGGCATGATGGCTTGGCATATCACTTCAGTCCAAGTTGGGATGATCTTGGTTGACCCCTCAGCACAACATTTGTGAGGACCGTTGTATACTGCTAGTTCTCATATGTTGTTTTTCCTCTTCATTTCGATACGCGAACCATCCAATTGCATCCGTTTTCGCTCGGGCACAGTAGTATACATATTTTTCGGTCGTCGATCGGTTGACTCTGGATGAACAAAATTACGGATATTGTAATTTTTTATAGCCATCATCGCTTCTTCTTTGCTTGAAAACTCCATGCCTAAAGATAACTCACCATTATTTATTGATGAGTAAATCCATAGTCACCGAGATGAGGCATATCCAAATTCTGGCCCGTACATTGCACCATAATCAGTTTCATATATGTGTGCATGAGGGTCAGTTTGTGCACATTTCTGGAACTTCATCATCATCGAGTTGAATTACGGTGATTCTAGGTGAATGAATAGTCCAGTCTCAGCACCATCCGCACCAGTCTCACGAAGCGGTTCTTCTGGTGGAGATGATGGTTCCTCCATGCTCTCAACATTTAGGTCGAAGAACCTACTACTTGCACGCCTTCCCTTGAACTGGAAGCATATCATTGAGATCGAAAAAGCTCGCAGTCGAATGCCTCCCCCTAGAGCTTGAAGCCATCGTGTCAAATGGAAACTGCACAGATGGTTGTCGATGACATCTTCATATGGTCAAAGAAATTTGCAGATGAATGCCTTCCCCTTGAACTGGATGCTGTGTTGCCATACATTGTTTGTGGACCCACCTCGGTACATATCGTAAGGAGTTACGGATGAATGTCTCCCCATTATGGCATTAAAATCATTACACATTACTGTAGTCGGGCTGTCAACTTGTTCAGCCAACCCATAGTGTGAGCTTAAAGATTGACCCCGAACAACACGCTCTTGAACAAAATGTGCATACATCTCAATAGCGGCGTCTGAATAATTACTTTAAGCTTCAACCATCATTTGAACATCATCATTGTTCGAAAGTTCGAACGCTGTATAAGTTAATGGCAACAATGATGTTGGAAATCTGTACTGCAACAACGACCGAACAACACGCTCTTGAACAAAATGTGCATACATCGCAATAGCGGCGTCTGAATAATTACTTTAAGCTTCAAACCATCATTTGAACATCATCATTGTTCGAAAGTTCGAACGCTGTATAAGTTAATGGCAACAATGATTGGAAATCTGTACTGCAACAACGACATTCTTCTATTACTTCCAACATGAATCTTCCTCTAAATCTTCGTTATCAGTCCTCAAGAGTTTCTCTTGAATGATATTTTAACACGCTCATTTGATACGAAAACAACGCCAGTTTCATCTCGAATTTCACCATCAAATAAACAATAGTTGAAAGTCGCGTCATTCTTTGAGTTTAAAGTGCGATATTATATATGTAAAAAAAAAACTTAAACAAACTTGATTAAATATATATAAACGAAAATATAACAATTTTTTTTTAAACATCACGTAAATAATTTAATTAATAATTTATATTAACCTGGCACCGCAAAACTATTTCGACGTATGCTCCCGCTTTTATTTTACAAACATAAAATTAATTGAAAATAATTAGTATAATATTTTTTCAAATAATGATAATAAACAATAAGTATAATTAAAAAATTATAACAAAATTACCTTATAACGAAAATCGCACGAACTTCTAAATCAAATATGAGAAGATTGTCAGAATTATTACTCGTGACAGAATTGTTGTATTAATTTATAAGAGAGAGCAGGAGATGTGAGAGAGATGCGGTATTTATAAACATATAGGCGTGGTATCGGCACCGCGTTATATGTAATTATTACATAGCACAGATCAGGGACCGCGTTAAATAATTTTGGTACGGCATATAGCGCCCCTGATCCGCTATACCCCTACTGGCGTATCGCGGAGCAGGGGTATACCCCACGTGGTCGTATAGCGCGGACGGGGCGCGCTATACACGGCGCAATCAGCATATAGCGGTTCAGGAGGCGCGCTTTACTACTACGGGTGTTAGATTGGGAAATATAATCCGGTGTTAGATCGGTAAATATACCGATAATCGGTATTTTTTGGGAAAATCGCCCGATTAACAGCCTATTTTTTTAAATCAGGTTAAGATCATGTCGAATTTTATAACGAGTGAGGTCGGGTCAAGTTTAGTTTGGGTGAAGGGTGAACTGACATGAGATAATAGTATAATTTTTTCAAATAAATTATATATAATTACTATAATACCCTTCCTTTTATTTTTTTAATTAAATCATTTTATATCAGGTCAATCAAGTTATAGTTGTTTTTCATTCCACATAATTTTACAATATCAAATTTTAAATTTAAATTTTAAAAAAAATAATGTTTCATTCCACATAATTATAGTTAATATTAAGGGTAATCAGGGTTGGACTAGATCGAGTTTCTGATCCATCTAAACACAACAGAGTATAACATTCTTTCACCCGATTCGACTCGATTTGGGTTTAGGGAAATTCCACTAAATCTGAAACCAACTTGATATTGAAGTGAAAACATATACCTGACTTAATTCAATCCGACTTAAATGTATGTAAAATGTTATTTTTTTATTAGGTAAGATAGACTATTAATTGGAAAAATTCCAAAAAGGATATCATGGAAACTATCGCGATATATAAAAGGTCAATTATATTATTATTCTCTAGTCAAATCATTTTAAATTTAAACAAGATTCGACTTATTATCCTTTAAAATCTACATAACCTGACCTGACCTTATCATTT